ATAGTTGCCCGTCAGTAAATACCTCGACTCACTTTTTAAGCTCTTACGAAATATCTTACCGAAATGTAAACTTCATTTTCCCCTAACGATCCTTATTTTTCGAATATCAGGGGAATGCAGACACCAAAGACTTTGAGGGCTTGGTGAACTTCGTCACAGACAATGCGAAACTGGCGATCTATAGGGCCGAAAAATACGCAATTGAAGGAAATGGCTTATCCAGTCACTGTCGCATCTTCAAGGCGCTGGTTTCTGTCAGAATTTGGCTGGAATTTCGCCACGCTCAGTGGACGCGTCGGGCTGCTACAGAGTTGTGATCTGAATTTCGATTTAAAGCTTTCGTGACTGCAAAGATTCATCTTCTTTGGTTCTTTCGGTAAAGTCACGTAGAATGAGAATAAAATAATAAAATAAAACAATAAAATTCTCACGATGTTTCGGCCACAACACAAGTGGCCTTCAGGTGAAAGGAACAAACCTTTCGTCGTGAGAATTTTATTGTTTTATTTTATTATTTTATTCTCATTCTACGTGACTTTACCGAAAGAACCAAAGAAGTTGTGATCTGTTTGATGTGACTGGCGCAGGAGATCGAGCGATGAGTTTGTTGAGAGTGTTTTCTGGTTTGTTCGTCTCCGTGAACACAGAGTACACAATGGGATTCATGTTACGCGGAAAAACGTCGTATATCTTTGGTAAAAAAAGAAGAGGGCCATAAAAGCCAAAAAAAATAACCAAAAAACCCGACATGATAAACGAAGCAAAGCACCGAATAACCGAGCAATTGTTTTGTCTCTTCTGATCGTAAGAAAGAGAGAGAGAGAGACAATCACTTGCAGTTAATTTGCATACATTGATGTAAACAAAAAAACCTCGATACTTACACACGATGCAATGCGTGCAGCGCAGGCCTTAAGAACCGATATTAAATATTAATCGACGAATTGATCAGGACACGGCCCTGTTCCCTACAGAGAGCATCGCAGAATCCATTCCCAATGCTCATCCCGAACCTCCCCTCTCTTCATCTCCTCTCTCACTCTGTATAACTGACTCTCGCGCGCTCTCTCTCTCACTCTCTCTCCCTCTCACCGAGTCTCCCTTTCTAGCTATATCTCGCTCCGAACTACTCTCTCACTCCCTAGCTCTCTCGTTCTCCCTCTCTCTCTCTCGGAATCTCGCCCTCTCCCGATCGCATTCTCTCCCCCCTCTCTCTGGCTCTCTATCGAATCCTCTCTCTCCCTCTCTCTGGCAGAGCAGAGCAGTGGTGGATGAGCAGAGCGCTTGGGATGCTGCTGCGAGGTACGTGGGTGGCTGTGAGAAAGGGTGGACACTGGTAAATGTGCGCTTTGTGAATGTGAGGTACGCGTGTCCGTGTATCCGTGCGTGTATTGTGCGGGGAGTTGCAAGTGTAGCGGTTATCGCGCTGCGCTACAAACCCGACGACCAGAGTTCGATTCCCGCTCACGGTCAACACCAGTGACGATTATTTTAATCGGTCCTTGGCCTCCTCTAGTTCGACTCAGCCTCAAATTACTATCTGGTGCGGTGTGTAAAAATCATTGCCACTTGGGAGACAAAAGCGGTCGGGCGTGGTGCTGGCCACCCACGCCCTCGTTCGCTGTTCAAGCCTTCATAGGTGCTCGCTAACAGCACGTGCGCCAACAGTCTGTTGAGGCTATATGGGGGATCTTTGTCTTTGTATTGTGCGGAACAGTGGTGCAGTGGTTAGCGCACTGCGCTAAAAGCCCAGCCGTCCGGAGTTCGATTCCCTGCCACGCGCTATCATCATTGGAGGGTGATATCAGATTTTAGAACTCATCCTGTGCCTTCCCATACGTCAACTCAGCCTTATCTTTCGGCACCCGGCGCGGAGCGTCAGCATATCAACAGTGGAGAGATAAAGGCAGCTGTCCGTGGTGCTGACCAAACCTCGTCCCCGACCACCCCGTTCGTGCGCCGTGCCGGCCTTGATAGGTGCTCGCTAACAGCACTTGCCCCAGCAGTCTGCGTATGCTACATGAGGATCTTTGTATGTATGTGTAGGTGCGTGTGTGTGTGCATATATAAGGCTATATGGGGGATCTTTGGCTTTGGCATATATAGTGGGGAGCAGTAGTGTAGCGGTTAGCGCATTGCGCTATTAATCTGGCGACCTGGGCTCGATTCCCTTTTCTACGGTCAACACCGGTGACGATTATCTGAACCGGTCCTGGGCCACCCCTTGGTCGACTCAGCCTCAAATGAGTACCTGGTGCGATGTGTAAACATCGCCACTGGGGAGACAAAGGCGGCCACGCGTGGTGTTGGCCACCCATCCCCTCGTGTACCGTGCCGGCCTTCATAGGTGCTCGCTAACAGCACTTGCCCCTACAGTCTGTTAAGGCTTTACGGGGGATAGTTGTCTTGTTTTGTGTGCATATATACGCGCGCGTCGTGTGTGTGTGTAACCTGGGTCGATTTTTTTTTAATGAGCGATGTTCTCTGTTGAAACCAAAGACACCGATCGCTTCCCTCAACATCTCTGCGTCCCTTTCGCTTGCGGAATTGAAATGCAGACTGCATGTATACGTGTGTATGTGTATACGTGTGTATTGTGTATACGTGTGTATTGTGTATACGTGTGTATGTGTATACGTGTGCATGTGTATACGTGTGTATTGTGTATACGTGTGTATTGTGTATACGTGTGTATGTGTATACGTGTGTATGTGTATACGTGTGCATGTGTATACGTGTGTATTGTGTATACGTGTGTATGTGTATACGTGTGTATGTGTATATGTGTGCATGTGTATACGTGTGTATTGTGTATACGTGTGTATGTGTATACATGTGTATTGTGTATACGTGTGTATGTGTATACGTGTGTATTGTGTATACGTGTGTATGTGTATACGTGTGTATACGTGTGTATGTGTATACGTGTGCATGTGTATACGCGTGTATTGTGTATACGTGTGTATTGTGTAAACGTGTGTATTGTGTATACGTGTGTATTGTGTATACGTGTGTATGTGTATACATGTGTATTGTGTATACGTGTGTATGTGTATACGTGTGTATTGTGTATACGTGTGTATGTGTATACGTGTGTATACGTGTGTATGTGTATACGTGTGCATGTGTATACGTGTGTATTGTGTATACGTGTGCATGTGCATACATGTGTATGTGTACAGTATACAGTACTGTATATGTGTCTTCCTGCAGTGCAGTTTTCGCGCTACGCTGCGCTCCGAACCCGGCCACCCGAGTTCGATTTCCGCTCGCGGCCAACACCAGTGGCGATTATCTTCAGCGGTCCTGGGCCTCCCCTAGGTCGACTCAGTCTTAATTTAAGCGGTGCATAAAGATCTCCACTCGGGAGACAAAGGCGGCCGGGCGTGGTGTCAGCCACACAGCCTCCTCGTGTGCCGTGTCGGCCTTCATAGGCGCTGGCTCGAAGCACTTGGCCCCAAAAGTCTGTTAGGAATATCGGGGGAATCTTTGTGTGTTTTGCTTTATTAGGTGCGGTAGTGTAGTGGTTAGCGCATCACGCTACGAACCTGGCAACCTGAATTTGAATCCCGCTCACGGCCAACATTAAGTGACGGAATATCTGAATCGGTGCTTGGCCTGTCCCCTAGGTCAACTCGGCCTTAAAATTAGTATTATGGTGCAGTGTGTGCGAACATCAGCACTGATGAGACAAAGGAGGCGTGGAGCTGACCACTCACCTTCATGCGCCGTATCGGCCTTAATAGGTGCTCGCTAACGGCACTCGCCACAGCCGTCTGTTAAAAAGCTACAAGGGGGAAGGGGGGAGAGTATCTTTGCGCGTGCTTTCTATTTTCTCTACCACAAATGGCTCTGGGTGTTGATGTTCACACGGTGTCGAGTTGGAGCCGATGGCTTGATGCGTGATTATTCACCGAGAAGGTCCAAGCAAAGGTCAGGTCCGCGTGGACGGATGATGCGAATATCGGGGGGAGGTGAGTGAATTGCGTTGGTTGGCGGTGAGTGGATTGTGTGGGTGGATGGATGTCGCGTTGAGTGAATTGGTAGTAGCTAGATGAATAGGAGGTGGCTGGTAGCGGAAAGTGAGCGGGTGATGATGATGGTGGTGGGTAGTAATCATGGATAAAATGGATGAGGATGGTGGTTAGTGATGATTATGGTGGTTAGTGATGATTATGGTGGTGGTGGTAGTGGTGTGTCATAGTGAATTTATTTGTGTGTGGTGGTGGGCAGTAAATTATGGTGGTTGTAGTGGGTGGTGGTTGGTCGTCGGGAGTGGATTAATTAATGTGGTTGGTGGTGATGATGATTGGTTCATGAATCGGTGGCTGGTGGTCAGGGTGAAAGACGGAATGGGCGAAATAAAGAATGGGCGGTGGTGGTTGTTAGTGAGTGTATGGGCGAATGAATTGAATGAGTGGGTTGTCCGACTGCTGGTGAGTGAATGGGTGTATGTAAGAGTTGGTTATGGTAATGGTGGGTGGTGGTGGTTGTTAGTGAGTGTATGGTGGATGGTGGTAATGATGGGTGGTGGACGTGAGTGTATGTATGTATGGGTGAATTAATTACTGGGTGGTGGTGGTGTTGATGCTGGTGGTGAATGAAGGAGTTTCTGGTGGTAGATGTTATTGTATGTGTATGTATGTATGGGTGAATTAATTAATGGAGGAGTGGATGCTGTTGGTGGTCGTGAGTGAATGGGCGAATAAAGGAATGAGTGGTGGTGGTGAATGTGAGCATGTCTGTCTGTATGTGTGGGTGAATGAATGAATGAAGCAGTGGATGGCGCTGCTGCTGTCCGTGTTGGTGGTCGTGGTTGTCGAGAGATGGAGGCATCATGTGCGGCATCGATATCCCGGGGATGCCATGAACGGGGCGTGTTTTCCTCCTATGCGGTGCAAATTCTCCAGTCAATATCCGTGGCGTGGCGGCAGCGACAGTTGTTGGCGCTGTACGCGGCGTGCGTGCGAGGGGTGGGAGCGAGAGGTGCGAGCGAGAGGTGCGAGCGCGCAGAGGAGGAGTGGAATTCGTGTGTGTGCGCGCGCTCCGTGAGCCACGTTTAAAACAGAATTCCACCTTCTGCTGACACTTCCACCTTCGTCTTCGTCTTCTCGCCAAGGAGCGTAGACCACCATCGGTCACTGCAGCAGCGGCTCTTGGCTTGCCATTGAATGAAGGCGGTCACGCTGTGCGGTGCGCTTCTGGGGCCGTCTGGAACGCCCTTCCTTCCGATATTAGCAAGCCACTGAAGCTATGCACCTTTAAATTTAGATTGACAAACTAATTTATTTAGAACTGCTTTTCGTGTCTTTAGCTTGTCCCTCCCCAGCGACTACGATTAGTGCGGTTGGCTACGTACGGTGCGAAAGAAGTTCAACGCACATGCATACGGACACTTAAGCAGGACGAACCAGTCGCAGCAATTTATGGATCACGCGCCACACAGGGTTGCATTACATCCTGCGGGCATTCACGCATTGCATTTCACGTGTGTGTGTGTGTGGTGTGCTTTCGTCGTCACGATGTGTTCGCTTTGCATTATTCGGCCTCTGCGAGAGTATGTGAAAGTGGTCACTAAATCGTATCCGTGATACGCGGGTGGTAAGTATACACACGCACTGAGACGCGTAGACAGACGGACACGCACACTACACAGGGAGTATTTAATTGTACAGGATACGTAGACGCGTAGGCATAGGGATACACAAACGCACGTGTTGTGTGTTTAACCCCTACATGATAGATAGGCGGCGCGGCAGTATAGAACCCGACGGAAACAACACGTGGAGCGAGAGCGTGAACACGCAGAGACACACACCACAGATGAAAGATCGCCCATATAGCCTGAGCAGACTATTGGGGCAATTTCTGTTAGCGAGCACCTATGAAAGCCTGCACAGCATACGAGGGAGTGGGTGGCCAACAGCACGCCCGGCCGCCTTTGTCTCCCCAGTGGCGATGTTTACTACACACGCCAGGTAGTCATCTGTGGCTGAGTCGACCTAGGGGAGGTCCAGGACGGGCTCAAATAACCGTCGCTAGTGTTGACCGTGAGCGGGAATCGAACTCTGGTAGCCGGGCTTGTAGCGTAGCGCGCTAACTGGCTGTATTACCGCTACCCACACACATTTCACTCACCAACACACATTTCACTCACCCACACACATTCACTCACCCACACACATTTCACTCACCCACACACATTCACTCACCCACACGCATTCACTCACCCACACACATTTCACTCACCCACACACATTCACTCACCCACACACATTCACTCACCCACACACATTCACTCACCCACACACATTCACCCACACACATTTCACTCATCCACACACATTCACTCACCCACACACATTCACTCACCCACACACATTTCACTCATCCACACACATTCACTCGCCCACACACATTCACTCACCCACACACATTTCACTCATCCACATACATTTCACTCATCCACACACATTCACTCACCCACACACATTCACTCACCCACACACATTCACTCACCCACACACATTCACCCACATACATTCACTCACCCACACCCATTTACTCACCCACACACATTTCACTCACCCATACACATTTACTCACCCACATACATTTCACTCACCCACACACATTCACTCACCCACACGCATTCACTCACCCACACACATTCACTCACCCACACACATTTCACTCATCCACACACATTAACTCACCCACACACATTTACTCACCCACACACATTCACTCACCCACACACATTTCACTCACCCACACACATTCACTCACCCACACGCATTAACTCACCCACACACATTTCACTCACCCACACGCATTAACTCACCCACACACATTTCACTCACCCACACACATTCACTCACCCACACACATTCACTCACCCACACACATTCACTCACCCACACACACATTTCACTCACCCACACATTCACTCACCCACACACATTCACTCACCCACACACATTCACTCACCCACACACATTCACTCACCCACACACATTCACTCACCCATACACATTCACCCACACACATTTCACTCATCCACACACATTCACTCACCCACACACATTCACTCACCCACACACATTCACTCACCCACACACATTTCACTCACCCACACACATTCACTCACCCATACACATTTCACTCACCCACACACAATTCACTCATCCACACACATTAACTCACCCACACATATTTACTCACCCACACGCATTCACTCACCCACACACATTCACTCACCCAAACACAATTCACTCATCCACACACATTAACTCATCCACACACATTCACTCACCCACACACATTTACTCACCCACACACATTTCACTCACCCACACACATTCACTCACCCACACACATTCATTCACCCACACACATTCACTCACCCACACACATTTCACTCACCCACACACATTTCACTCACCCACACACATTTCACTCACCCACACACATTCACTCACCCACATACATTTCACTCATCCACACACATTCACTCACCCACACACATTCACTCACCCAGACACATTTATTCACCCACACACATTCACTCACCCACACACATTTCACTCACCCACACGCATTCACTCACCCACGCGCATTCACTCACCCACACGCATTCACTCACCCACACATCACCCACACACATTTACTCACCCACACACATTCACTCACCCACACACATTCACCCACACACATCCACTCACCCACACACGCACGCACTGTGCACGCTCCTGACTTCGCGCGCGCGCGTGTGTGCAGGCGCTGCGCGGCGGTGTTGATCCCGACGGGAAGGAGCACGCGGAGTAGCGGGGGAGGAGGAAGCGGGCCGAGGCTATCATCGTTGGTGTGACCGCCGCCGCCGGCAGTATTATTATGGTGGTGGTGTTCCACGGCTCGCTCAGGCTGCGCGTGTGTCAGGCGGCCGAGCTGCGACGCACTCCGTGGTCGCTGCGTCTGCAGGGTGGGGGGGCCACGCGCTCTCAGAGTCAGCTCCTGGACCCGTACGTGGCCGTGAACGTGGACGACCGCCGCGTGGGACAAACCCAGACCAGGGCGCGAACTCTGAGCCCGAGCTGGAACGAGGAGTTCGTGACGGAAGTGTGCAACGGACGCAGGATCGAATTGGCCGTCTTCCACGAGACGCCCATCGGCTATGACCACTTCGTGGCTAACTGCACCATCCAGTTCGAAGAGCTCCTCCACAATGGATGTCGGCACTTCGAGGACTGGGTGAGTGGTGGTGGTTGTTGTTGTTGTTGTTGCCGCTGTTGTTGTTGATGTTCGGCTCTCGCCGAGCGGTGGTGGTGGCTACGCACGGTGGCCTGTAAGCCAGCAGCACTGTGGAGCCAGCGAGGATTGGTGGATCACAGAAATGTTGGGAAACTCCATGACCGTCGGCGTTGAAGAGGAGCCCGTACGCTGGCATGCCGGGAGAAAGTGGTACGGAAAAAAACACGTGGACCTCCACCTGTTTTCCTATTTATCAGAGTGTTAAATAGGAAAACTATTTATTGTCATCTGGTCGAGCACCAATTGGGTCGAGGCTCAAAAGAAAGCCGTCCCTTGGTGTGGACCAATCAGTTTCATGGACAATGCATATATTATCATGTATGTTTTTTTTGTTTGCATTTTGATCGCAGGTATTGTGGTTAATGCAGACATGAATCCTTGTAAAAAGGTTTCAGTTTTGTTGCCAGAAAAAAGGGGAAAAACCCTATTATTATTATATCAGAGTGTTGCCACCTTACGTCCTCCGGGCGCTCTGGTTCCATCCGACTTGTAACACTCATTAATTCATTAATTCGGCTGAAAACATCTTAATGTGTAGCGGACCGCAGAGCTTGGGTCATTTGTTTGCCCTCCCGGCTCGCCTGTGGGTTCCTCCTCGCGCCTCTGCGGTCCTCTCTCCCCTCTCTTTTCGAGAGTGGGCGGACATTGTGCGGTCGGCGTTACAAAAATCTGAAACCTCGTGGTTATTTGTGGGGAGTTTCTGTTTGTTTTGGGTTGTACCGTGTTGTTGTTGTTTGTTGTTGTTGTTGTTGTTCGGCACGTTGACGATAACGATTCGCTTTTGGACAGAGCACCCCTCCCACACACCGGTGTATCCCAAGAGCGCTCTATATCACATCTCATCATCAACACATTTGAAAAGGGCATGCCCAGTGGCAGCTGTCCCCCCGTGCCAACAAAGGTGCCTCAGCACGCGGCCTGCAAGCGGGCATTCAGGCTACCAGTCGGGAGAGCGACGGTTGCTGTGCGTCACTTGCAGTTGACTAAAGGAACGCACTGTATGTATGTTGACGTGGTTTTTTTTCGCGCCGTACGTAGCCAACCGTGCTAATCGGAGTAATGGTGTCCGACGTTTCGCTCCACGTGCTGCTGGGAGCTTCTTCACTAACTGGTAGACGTGGAGAGAGAGAGAGATGGGGGGGGGGGGGGGTGTAACAGAACAGGAATCACGAACGCGGCACCCAAGGTAGAGAGACACTCACTGTGACACGCATCGCATCGTCTGTGCAAGCATTGTTGCCGCTGCTGCAATTGGCCTCATGCTCCATTCTCCCGGCTCTCCGGGGACTCCACTGAGCCTCAGGGAGCCGTCATCTCCCGCGGGCTCAGTGACGCACAGTGGTGAGTTGTGGATGGGGTGGGCTGCACACAGACTTGGGGGGTAAACAAGAGAATATAACACCTCCCGCCGCCCTCCGCATGAACCAGAGTGGTGAAGTATGGTTAAACAGACTTCATGACTAACCCGGCAGGAGGAGGCATTCATCCAGCAGTGGATTGACAACGGGCGCCACAGTGGCGAGTTGTTATCTGCCCCTCGCCTGGTACGAAAGAGGTCGTGGGTTCTCTCTCGATCCTGACGCCTGCTGTAAGTTTGGAGTTTGCGTTTCTCTCTCCCCGTCTTCGCGTGGATTTTTCTCCGGGTCGTCCGGGGTTTCCCTCCGCACTTAGGAACGTGCGCCTAGAATATTTCGCTGCTATAAATTTCCACACGCTGATAAGCCACTTCGTTGAGCTATCATTTGTGGCCAGGTCGCTTCAGAAAAAGAGCTGTAGAGCTCAGTGGGCTTTTCCTGATAAAGTAAAAAAAAAATGTTTAGTAATTGTATAACGTGCTAATAAAAAAAACAGCCGAAGCGATGTCCTGCTCAAATGAGCATCGAGGCATTGGCGCTTTATGTCCTGTTTAGAGACCGGAGCCAATGGTGAGATTTACTCATTCCTATGGTGAGCAGGGCTCTATGATTGCACAGTCACTGTTGACTTCCCCTCGACGTGAAACTCGCCTTATATCACTGCGACCAGGATTTGAACTCGCAACCTTCCGTTTGCGATCCACTTTCTCTACCGCTGAGCCACGTAAGCTCGTGTCCATTGGGTGTCCATTGCTTTGGACACCCATTGGACAGCCGACCTCCTACTCCGACCTCCTAACCCTCGTCCAATATCCTGCGTCACTTCATTAATCCTGGCCCTAGCTCTGTCTTTAAGCCTGTTATCAACCCTGTTCCTAACTATCTCTCTAACTCTGTCCTTAACACTGGCCCTAACCCTGTCAAAACTCTCTCCCCCTAACACTGTCCCTAAACCCTGTCCCTAGCCCTGTCCCTAACCCTGTCCCTAGCCCTGGCCCTAACCCTGTCCTTAACTCTTGTCCCTAACTCTGTCCCTTACCCTGTCTTTAACCCTGACTCTAATCCTGTCCCTTTCCCTGGCTCTAACCATGTCCCTAACCCTGTCCTTAATCCTCTTTCTAACCCTGGCCCTAACCATTAGAGCAAATAACCACCACACACAGACGACTCCCGAGCTTGCGTCGCAGAGAGACCTCGACCCTCAGCTTCGGACTTCGCTCACGCCCTGTGGCTGGAGCCCCTCTTTGCTGTCCCTTACATAGAGGTGGTTGCAGCTGCCGCCTGTGTCTCCTGCAATAATTTGAACTGGCTGCCCTAGCGTGGCTGATGGGCTGTGAAATTACATCAGCTCTCTCAGGCTCAATGCCTCTCTCCGTCCCTGTGACTTTTCTCGATGATTTGTTGCTCCGCCCTCATCCCGAGCCTCCACCTGCGCCGCGTGTATTGTGTGGCGCAGGTGTGTGTGGCGCAGGTGTGTGTGTGTGCATGTGTGTGTGCATGTGTGTGTGCATGTGTGTGTGCATGTGTGCGCATGTTCAGTCAACACCAGCGACGTATATTTGAACCTGTTCTTGGCCTCCCCCAAAGGTCAACTCAACTTCACATCAATGCCTGGTGCGGTGTGTAAGCATCAGCACAGGAGGGACAAAGGGGCCGTCCATAATGACGTCACGCACCTGGGGGGGGGGGCAGACATTTGTGACGATGTGTGACGAGGGGGGGGGCGGGTTTGAGAAATGTGACGTCACATCAAAATGCGCAATTTTAAATAAATATAGAATTGTTATAACAACACTAATTGTTATAACAACACTCCTACAACATCAGAGTGCAGCGCCACGTTAAATACGCACTGCAATGACAATAGTTTAAAGCGATTTGAAGCACGTTTTATTTTCAAAATGGAAATATGGTTTTGGGGGGGGGAGGGCAGAGCTTTGTGACGTCATATTTGAGGGGGGGGGGTCTGACTTTTTGTGACGCCGTGTGACGAGGGGAGGGGGGGTCAAAAACCGTCCAAAATCGCGTGACGTCATTTATGGACCGCCCCAAAGACGGCAGGGCGCTGGCCACCCACACGACCGTGTGCCGTGCCCGGCTCTCACAGGTGCTCGCTAACAGCACTTTCCCCAACAGTCTGATAAGACTATACGGGGGATCTTTGTCTTGTTATGGGGCCACGTTATGGGGCACAGGTGGCGCATCTGCCAGTCATCTCGTTCAGGCGACCCATGGCACTTGGGTCTGTTCCGTGACCTCTGGCCAGGGAGCCTTCGATAATTCACGTGGCCTTAAAGCGCACCTAGCTTGGCACGGGTGCCGTGGTGACGTCACCGACAAACCTGGCATCCCGGGTTTGTTCCACGCCTACGGCCAAGATCGGTGACAAATATTTAAAGCAGCCCTGGGCCCCCCCCCCCCTAGGTAGACTCAGCCTTAAATTGAGTATCTTGTGCAGTGCGTAAGTAAAGATCAGCGCTGGGGAGATAATGGTGGCCGTGCGTGGTCCTGGCCCTGCCAGCCCTTCACGAGCCATTATGGCCTTAATAGGTGCTCGCTGACAGCGCAGTGTACGTGGGATGTGCGTGTGGGTGGCTTGCATCTTTATAATAGCTGCAGCACTAAGTATGGCAAGATGATGATGATGATGAAGTGTCGATAATGCACACTTATGACGTCACCCCGCGTGGTGTTAGTCAGGCAAGCCATGACACCTGGGTCTGTCCCGTGACCTCCTGCCAGCGGGCGTTCGACACTTCACGTGCGGCCCTAACGTGCAAATAGCCTGGCACAAGCGCTGTGGTGGTGGTTGTTGCTAGTGTTTGTGTTTATCACATTTCCCAGCTGTTAGCCATAGGCACTCCAGGGCACATTCAAGCGTCATCATCATCATCGTCGTCATTGAGTAATTATCGCAAGCAGACCAAATTGCTTTTTGACAACTCGAATGGAAAATAACCACCGCATAGACGATGCAATTCACGTAGAGTAATAATAATGTGTATCATGGTATCATAATAATAATAATAGAATCATCTTCGTCATCGCTATTCCGTACTTTTTCGCGGTGGCTCTGCATGGCTCTCCGCTGGGTTTTTCGGGCTGTACCGCCTGTTGTTGCGGCACCGCGTCCGGCGTTTCGTTGCACACTCTTGGCGCTTCTTCTTTATGACCTACATTTGACACGTGGATAAAAAATATATCAGACGTCATTCTGAACAATACGCGGTACTATCCCAAAAAAACACGTTAGAGAACTAGTATCATCACCATCGTCAGCAGCAGCATCATCATCAGCAGCAGCACTGTTCTAGAGCATCTTCATTTATGGGGGAATATGACATTGACATTTGCTGAATGGTGACTGAAGGTCAAGAGGTCAATGTCCTTCTTGATATCCAAGAGTCATCACTTCCTTCGTTCTTTTAGATCCATAGTTATTACAAAGTCAACGCGGATAACACCACCGGCCAGTGTCATTTTCTACATTGAAAATGTGTTTACGTATTTACTTATCTTATATTACACTTCCGTCAAAGATCGATCTCAGTATTTTTAAAAAGCACAATCAATTCAACTGGATTT